TATATATATTTAGCTTGCATTAAACAATCACAGTTATTTTTCATTCTTTGCAAGGGTAAATTTGAACTGTTAGCCAGAGTGGTGGTGATGGTGGTATCTCCTGAATTAATCAGTCCATGAAGGATCACATGATTTGATAAAGATACAGTTTTCTAGATATCAATTAAAAATGAGATTTCAAAAATTCAAACTTAAGGTAATCCAATTTTTTAAATCTGGCACTTTGTATTTTATATTGTATGTTACTATTATTCTACCATAAAATACTTTTTTATGTCAAGGAAGAAGCATGCATTGGAGGAAACTCCCTCCTCCAAATGTTAACTAAATCAACATATTTGAGACATTTTGTATTCAGCCTGCATCTCTGTGGGATTTTATAAGTGCACATATGTCAAGCTTGGAAAACCTTTGAAACAAAATTCCCAGTCTTCCTCCTTTGGATGATTCCTCAAATTACCTTTTAGTAGAAGGTCGGCCAAAAAGTGTCAATTGCACAAAAACAGATTCAAATAAGTTTCAAGACCTTACCGAAAAGGCATATTTTTATTTTATTTTTTCTCTTAAGAGACAAATCTGGAATTTGTGCTTTATCCAGTTTTATCGAAATTATCTGTAATTGTGAAAAACTATATGGTAAACCTGTGTCTAGAAAATAGCCCCTTCAAATTGCAAGTGGGGGTTCAAGCTATTGACTGCATCTCCATACCAAACTGACACACCTGTGCATAGGAAAGCGAGATGTCAGAAAGAAGGCCTAAACTACATATGACACAAGGAAGTAATTTTTCTTGTATACTTTATTTTCTAGGAAATGTTGCTGCAGTTTGAAGAAGAAGTTTAGTGTGGTCAGCATGCAGTCCTTAACTTTTGTATCTCAGTTTACATTTCCACTGAGAAGGTCCCAAACTGCTTTTCTTCTCTACAGGGGAATACACAAACACCCCCCCCCCAATCCCCATGAGGACAAGGAAGCGCAGTTACAATTTGAACAGCGTTGTTCAGAGGGAAGAGCAGCATTCCTGGCATTATTGTAGGCTGAGGGCTCTTTCACTCTATTATGTAAGACAACCCTCCCCCTCCAAACAATTATGAGAAAAACACCCAGAAAAACCACTATATGCAACATGGGCTTGAGGATTAGGTGACAGGTATCAGGAGATGAAGAGCTCTGCAGTACTTAATATGCCCTGATAAATGAGCCAAAAATGCAGATGAAACAGGAGGGAAAGAAGTTCTACCACAGATCACCATAGTCTTCGTTTGTTGTTTCCTTAGTCCTACTTCTTTAGTGGTCCTTCCACACATACTGCCACTTCAGTTCCCTCTACTACATCAACAACAATGTATCTTTTTCCTCAGAAAATCTATTTGTCACAAAGAATGCCATTCATCCTCCTGAAATGTTAGTTTTTGTGCTGACAGAGCTTCAGTTTTATTTTCTTTTGTTTCCATTGTTAGGTGGCAAACACAAGTGGAAGCAGAAGACTCAGAAACAAGATGTAGAATTAAATTCCAAACGGGCCAGAGCACCAAAGAATCTAGAGCAGTGTTTCTCAACTTTGGCAAGTTTAAGATGTGTGGACTTCAACGCCCAGAAATCCACAGCCAGCAACACACAACTTAAAGTTACCAAGGTAGAGAAACAATGATCTAGAGGAAGAAGTAGCATTCAGGGGCCCCCAACATCTATCAGAAGAAAGCTGGCTTATTCTTCCCAGCTGCCTAGGACCTATAGACAACTAACAACGTAAAGACCTTGAATAACCAACAGCCTGAGTGAACAGGAAAAACTGTTCCTCAATTTCCCATTCTGACAAAGGGACATTGGACTAGGGATGTGCTTTTACTGAGTGGCCACATGATGCATGCATATCTGCACATCCAAAGCAGCCTTAAAAAAAAGAAGAAATTCTCCCTTGTTTGTTCAAAGAATGTCAAGTATATAGACAATCAGTGGTGCCAGAAATAAACTACACTTACTTGTGTTGATAAGAAATTGGTTTGAAACCCCAGGGTGGTCAACATCATGTATTGCACTGGCAAAAATAGCAGCTAGAATCTCCAGGTCTGTGAACACGGCCTAAGAGAAAGAAAGAGGAAATATTTAGGAGTAAGGGAGTGGAGCAAAAAGAACAACTAATGGAGAAAATATTTTAAGTGAAACAGAACTGCGCAGGTCCTTTCCCCTTTTAAGTACAAGTGCAAGCACCACAGAGCTTGCTATTTCTCTTGAAAAATCCAATTTACAAAATGTTTTGGATAATAAACTATCAAATGTTCATATCCTCAAATCAAGTGATTTTTCTCAGTATCTAATCACTTAGCAAGCAAAGTACGTCTCACAATTAATTTTTTAATTTTACCCACATATTGTGGACTTACTTCCAAAGCTGGGGTTGACAAAAGCACATGTGTTGACTGTACAACATCAGCAGCATGTATATTGTTGTGATATGCCACATCTGCATGATAATGGTCCTCCAGCGTCATCAGGTAGGTTATTAACATGTCTGGTGGAATTTTAAACGTTTTTAGCAAATCCCGTTCCTGGAATTACAGAGAGAAAAACAATTGTTTTTACAATATAGGTAAAGGCTTCTGGAAAAGAAAAAGGGAAAAGCTGTTTCCTCTGAAACATACCTGAAAGATTGTATACATGATGACTGTCAAAGGTCGGTTCCCAGATAATTCAGCTATTTTAAACACCTGGAGGCCCCATTTGTTTACATCTTCTAGCTCCTGATGTAAGAGCAAACAAAAAACAGTCACCTGGCTTTCCAATAGGGTTTATGTAAAATATCATTAGACTGCTGCTCTTGACTTTCGTTGTTTTATACTTTAGTAACTAATTTTGCAGATTTTAAACAGAGAGTAGAAATGTTGATCCAAACAGCATGCACTGAAATGCTTTGGTATCACCCTGATGTTCAGGTACAGCAAGGAGCACTGGGAAACTTTCCAGGGAATGCCGCCATCTTACTCTATCTTATGTTTTGGGAATACTCTAAGTTTCAGAATAATCAAAAGAAAATAGTTTTCCTGCAAATACTTTCTTTGCTATTTTCTTCTGATGCAAATATGGGATCTGAATTTCTGTTAAATTCTACAGGTGCAGGTTTCATTTAAAAAAATCTGTCTGACTTCTGCACTTACCCAGTTCTAAAGGTGACCTGCAATGCACAATGAGCTAGCGAAAAACTAAATCAGAATCTTTATTTGGCTTTATAAAGTCAGTGTATGACATTTTATACACATGATGTATATAGGCACCAGTGTATGTAAATATTAGTGAATGTAGAGTTGCAGCTGTAATTTGTTCTGAGTTACAGATGCATAACCAGCTGGAAATTAGCATTGCTCTTACCTTGGCTAGAATATCTTCTTGATCTGTTTTGACTCCAAATTTGGGGATGCTAGAATTTGTTAAGCTGGAGCTATGCATCAACTTTTTCACTCCACTGATCTGAGACATAGGCCGTTTCTTTTTCTCTTTTTCTTTCTGTGTCGGGGATGGGATTTCCACTTCATGCTGTTTATCTTTTAAAGAAGAGAAAGAACATCTATAATCCATTTGTAAATTACAGCTAACTTGTAAGAAGTAACATTAAATGCAGCATAGCTTTTCATAAAATGTCGTTCAAAATAAATTTGAATAAGATGATGGGGTGATTACATCAAATCACAGTCAGATCTATTAACTGCACAAAAATCTGGGTTCAAGACCAGTTTTAACTATAGATTTAAGCAATCTTACATTGATCATTCATTGTCTCAGCAGTGTAGCAACACTGACCGTTACATACAGCTACAAAGCTAACAATATTGATATAAAATAGCCTGAATATTACGAATTAAAATTAAAAAATGAAATAAGCGGCCATTAGGTTCTCAGGTCCAAATAATTTCTTTTCAGTTCTGATTACTAGGAATTACAATATTTGTTTATATTATTTTATATTTCCCTAAAACTTGGGTGATTTATCCCATTACTGTAGTTTGGGCAGAAATTTGAGCGCAAGATCTCCCATGTTTCAAATCTAACCTATTATAAGATTGTCTCTGAAGTGCAATGATAATAATGAATTGATGAATAAGGTGGTTATTTTACAACATTAATCCAAAAATATTTGGCTCACAGTCCAATTTATCTTGCAAATCACAGATTTTTCAATATCTGTTAACAGATGGAACCAAATGTCTCTCTTTTTGTTGCTAGATTAGGAACACTGCTGAAGATGCAGCAACGTATACCATTTTGTGCTACTGTAATGAGAAGAACTAGGACAAGACTTATCCCAATTACATTGACCAAAATAGGAAACAGCAAGTGGTCAAGCATAAAAAGATGGCATATGTTTTATTGCCAACAATTAATACATGAGAATAAATAATAAGGGTGCTACAACGCCATAGATTTATTTGAAAGGCAAAATTCCATTGTATGTCTTAACCTCAAAAATTGTATCTAGCTGAAATAATTCTAGTCATCTCTATCAACAAGCTGCAAGAAAGATCACAAACACTGTCTTGTTTTCAACTAACCATAATTTGTTTCATCCAAACCCGGCTTTAGCTATGGTCTGTTCAAGCAAGCCAGATTCAAACCTGTTCCTGAGGTTGATTTATTCTCTCTACCCAAAGGTTTAAATAAATTGTAATTTCAATCCAAATAATTAATAGCACTTAACTGTAAAGAGTAGTGTATGCTTTTGATATCCTTCCTTTTGTGTGTCAGAGCAGAGTATAATACACACATTCATGCAACATTACCTTCAAACAAGCCCACTGTGAGTTAATGAATTCATACTAAGTTGAACAGTATGAACACAGGCATTCTCTGACTCTGTGACATTTTTTTGCATACACATACTGAACAGATTTGATAATGAAGCTCAAGCTCAGATACTTTGGTCACCTAATGCGAAGAGAGGACTCTTTGGAAAAGACCTTGATCTGGGAAGGACTGAAGGCAAAAGGAGAAGAGGACGGCAGAGGATGAGATGGTTAGATAGCATCACTGAAGCAATGAGCATGAAACTGAGCAAACTCAGGGAGGCAGTGAAGGACAGGAAGGCCTGGTGCAATATGGTTCATGGGGTCAGAAAGAGTTGGACACGACTTAACGACTGAACAACAACAACTGAACAGATGGTTGACAGAAAATCAGGATCATGCTCACTATTCTAGCTCTTAATTGCCACATGTAAAGGTAAAGACAAAAACATACCCACTGTACAATTTATGGCAGCAAACATACCTGTGCTGTCCCTGCCCTGAGATTCCTCTTCCTCAACCTAATGGCCTCTGTATGTGCTGCACTATTACTCCCATAAATTCCATACAGTCAACATCAACATATACTTTCTAGACATGGGAGGATATCTTGGTAGCTCAGGTTCCCTCCCAAGGTTACCATATGCAAATGTGACAGAGAAATTACATCTGGCCAGGAGTCAGAAATCTACTTGAGGCCTTCAACCCAAATCAATGGTGGTTTTGTGAGATTATCAACATGGAACCAAAACAGCTTACATTATATAAGGAGTCTATCTTGATTCCCCCCAGCATAAATGGCTCATTGCTAAATGCAGGAAAAATATTCCACTCCAATCAGTTCTTTCTCACATTCATATTTTTTCTAATAACACTGTAATTTATATTCTCAATGTTGTGAAACATGTAAAACCATGTGACAAAATACTGTTTTCTATTTGGAGACTCTCTTTTTTCTCCATTTCCTCTAGATTAATGCTAACATGAAACATTCACGGTGCATGTTTTGTTGTACGCTGCCCAGAGTCGCCTGTGGTGAGATGGGCGGCTATATAAATTGGTTTAATAAATAAATAAATACTTATTTAATATTTAAGAAGTGCATACATGTTTTAGTCTAGTGAAAGGGGAAAAAATCTATGGCTACATGTATGTGTTGGCACATATCTTTTCTTTAATCTTTCAGAATAGGCTAGCATTTACTGGAAACAGCAGAGAATTCTGATCAGATTGCTACAGACAAGTGAAAATGTCACCAATTTTCAGCCTGAGGCAATCAGCCTTCTCCTATCCCTTTACTGATCACCAATTAAACAAAACAGAGGGGAAAGAAAAAGGATTTGAACTGGCACAAACCAACAGCAGCTGAAGAATAATGACTCATGTGTATGCTTTGATGTTATAACTTCAGACATATGAACAAAGTTTAGAACCATCAAAAGAAAAGGCTCTAAAGCAAGATGTCAGATGAATTCAAGTGAAAGGAAATATTAGGTGGCCCATGGAATTCCAAGGGATTTCCTAAGTTTCACTCAAAGTGAGCAAATCTTGCTTCCCCTTATCTCAAACAATTTCCTTCCCAGAGAAATAATTATGCAATCATTTAATGGGTCCTGTCGTGCTCCATTTCAAAATGAAGTAACCTATTTCTACCAATAATTAGAAAATCAATAAAACATAATCCAGAATTGTTCAGGTTAAGCAGCCTTAAGGGTAACTGTGCAAGGTTTTAAGGCCTTCATTATTAATAAGAAAAGGGAAGCAATTTTTATAAGACTTTAACAGTCAGTTTATTAAGGAAATGGGTGGGTCATGCTACTGTCCTTCACATACTTTCAGCATCATATGCAAAGGATTGCTTCATCAAAGTACCACCCTGCATACAGACAATCTTTAAAATGTAAAATGTTAAGAAAAGTCCGGCTGGAACACATCAAAAATCTTTTAGTCCAGTAGTGTGTTCCCATAATGGCTAACCATGTGTCTGTAGGAAGCACCCAAAAAAGAACACAAGTACACAATCACTCTCTTGCTCATGAGCATGATGCAAAGAGAATTATGAGACTAATGAGATTAGCACTTAGGTTTTTGCCCTGTATCCATCTGAGAGCTTCAAAGCTTGGTTACAATGAATTGGCCAATTATCTGGAATTGGGACCATCCAGCCCACATTTTATCAAGGAGGAGACTACGATCAACTTTATCAAGTGCCTTACTGAAACCTAGGTATACTACATGTGCAGCATTCCCTTGTTCTACTAATCTAGTCAGTTTGTTAAAAACACCTGAAATATTTGCCTGGCATGACCTATTTTTAACAAACCCTTCCTGGCTTCTAGTAATCACATTGTTTCTTTTTAAGTGCATATAGGATTTTCCCAGGTATTGATGTCAAGCTGATTGATCTGTAGTTTCCTGGGTCTACTTTTTCCCTCTTTAAAGACTAGAACAATGTTAGTTCTTCTCTAATCTTCTGGTACTTCCTCTATATTCCAGGAGTTCTCAAACACTGCAGTCAGTGGTCCTGAGAACATATCCTCCAGTTCCTTTAGCAGCCTAGGATGTAAATCTCTGACCTGGAGACTTGAATTCATTAAAAGCAGCTAGGGGTTCTCTTACCACTTTCCTTAGGGTGTTAATTCCTTCCAACACAGAAACACAAACACTGAAAAATTCAGTTTCTTCATTGAGTCATAAAGAGAAAATTCTTCTATGTGCTCATTTCTATAGATAAACCCGTTTCCATTTTTTTCAAGCTTTCTGAAAATAGTCTAATAATTTTCCTTGCCAGGGTTCATAAAATCCAGTTATCTATCTAATCCTCTGGATAATGAAAGGGGTGGCTTTTCAAAATATTTGTTTCATTTTAGATCTGACTAACAAGGAAAAAAAAACTACAGCAACCACAGGACAATTCCTATTGGTTTAGTCAATTCCAATAAATCTACTGACCTCAGCAAATTATCCATCATATTTATTATTGGTTGGCCCATGTTTCTTGGCAACAAACTATTATCTGGAGGCACTAAGACTGAATTGTGAAGTCGCAGCATTGGCAATAGTGCGTAACTTGGTAAACTTCTTGTACCAATGCTCAGACCCCAGAACTGATTAACTGTTCCTATATTCCTTTGCAAAGCACAATAAAGTCAGGCATGTGTATTACTGTATATAATTCTGATGGAGACCACCATCAGTTCATTGTGTGCAGAATCCTAGTCCGCAATGAGATTGGGTAGCAGCAGCAAATTTTGGATGCTTCTGCTCATTTCGTTGCCAAATGTAGCAAAAATCTACAAATAATTACCACTGAATAGTTTATTGCTCAATAAGAAGTTGTTTCCAATTGATTTACTAATGGAAATCAATCGTACAGATGCAAAGTAGGGAACACAATTTTCACCAATTTCCTTACCTACCATTTGGTAAGCTCCCAAGCTGCTTACTGAGAGTTGGGGGATTTTTCAGAATTATATAGAGGATGGCAGAAAAAACAGATACGCAGAGGAGATGACTGGTAAAAGTTAAATATCCTGACTTTTATGTTTCACTGCATGAAGTTACCACTGAATACAACTAAACATCTGCAATACTTATGCAGTGTGTTGCAGATTCTTTTTTTGAACCACCAATAACCAGACTGACCCAGACTCAATAAGCACAAAACACTGGAAACTTCAGTGGATGGGGGTGGAGGGGGAGATTTTTATTTTACAAAAAGAAAGCTTACAGAATTCAATCTGTATTTTATCTTTTTTAGTTTC